TCTGATTTGGCTCTAAGTTTCCGGACATTTTACAATGATTTTATATTATTTAAACTTTGCAGGCTTGAATTTGAATGGCGATGTTGAACCGTTAGAAAACATTTTAAAAATCTCAAAAAAATAGAAAGTGCATTTTTGGGACAAAATTGATGAAATTATTAAAAAATTGCGATTTGTGCAAATGACGAACATTTTCTATGAATAATTTTTAAACAATCAATTTTCCACCGTAAAAATCATTTGTTCAGAACCGACAAAAATTTATTCATATCGAGAATTTTACCAGAAATCAATTTCATGCCTAAAAAAATACGGTTTCCAAAAGTATGAACAATCTCCATTATTTATCTACAAACAACGAATGTTTGAAAAATTAATAATTCTGCGCAAAATGTAATTTGAATGACGCTGAACATTCATGATTTTTTAAAAATTTTCTCACGCAATTTTTTTTTATTTATTATTCTCAGGCACTTTAATTGACAAATTTGATGATTAAAATTTTAGATTCTATAGTGTCGTCTGCACCAAACTATAAAATACATTTGGACATCCTTAATCCCAGAACAAAACTGTATTTCGTGATTCTTTTTAAAACAAAAAAAAGTGAAACAAAGGATAAATTCCCCCGTTTACGACTTTTCCTCCATTTTTTTCATAATTTTCCCCGATTACTTCTCCGCCCATTGTCCCGAATTTCACCTGCAACGAATTTAATTTTCAACATTCAAAACAGCCTTATGCCACCAACTCCAACGAATTCCTCTGGCCTTCGCGACGCCATGATCCAACTGCGTGATAGGGCAAATGCACGTAGAGTCAAAAATGCCCGACAATCTAAGGTGAATGCTCGCGATCCACTTGAGCGATAAGCCCACCAGTCGAAAAATAAAAACTCAATTTTTCTCTGCAAACACCGAGCAAAAGTCAATACCGTCCTCTCCTCAAACATTAATTAATTCCGTCCCACTTTATCAGCTCTCTCTTTGCTCAATCCCCTGCACTGAATTTCGCTGACGTTACGCTGAGTATTAGCCGAAAATGAAAACATCACGCACAAAGCCCTCCGGAATCCCGTTTTCCGCGTAAAATAGCAAAGCCCGTATTCGCTCGAGTTGGCGAAAAAGGAGTGAAATCGCGTGAAAGACATCGACGTACGGGTAGCCGTCCACCCTTCCTCAGCTCATAAGTAATGCTCTCAGTCTGCACACCGGGCGTGGCGTCCCGCTGTACAAATACTGCACACACACACGCCTGATAACCATCAATTCACAAAAACTGTAAAAAATAATCTAAATACTGTTGGAAATTTTTCGAAATTTCCCGGAAAATATGGTAGTAATCCTGTAGCGAAGTGGTAAACTGGGATAAGTGTAAAAATGGAACTTTTTTAGGAGAATTAAAAAATTTGACCAACTTCACGAGAATTTTCGATTCAAGCAATAAAAATTTTTCCAAAAAAATTGTACTTATCCTAGTTTACCACTTCACTACAGAATTCTCAGGAGAGTGACATTGAATCCGATTTAGGAGAAAAATGGTTATGAAATTTCAAGTTTTAGGTAGAATTCGAGGAAATCCATGTTTTAGGTGACAGTGAAACGCAAATTTCACAACTTGATTGAATTTTCAATGAAACATGAATATTCAGAAATAAAATGACATAAATTTTCGATTTTTCCCTGAATTTTCCTGATTTTTCCAATTTTCATGGAAAAATAAAACTGAAAAATCAAAAATTTTATTGATATCCAGATCATTTGAGCAGAAAAATAATGGAATATTTCAGTAGCGAAGTGGTAAAACGGTACAAGTTAATTTTGACTATCGACCAGTTTTCAATGAATATCTCGAAATCTAAGGGAGATGGCAGAATTTTTGTTATAACCTTTTTTGTAGAGCCGATTGAGAGCTACAACAAATGCGATTATGAAAATTTCGCTATCTCCTTTAGATTCGGAAGTATTTTTCAAAAACTCAACTGGGAAACAAGTCGACTTACCCCGCTTTAGCACTTCGCTACTGATTTGATTTTTCAGTGACAAGACTTCCTGAAAATTCATTGAAAATGAACCATGCTAAAAATTTTCCAAAAATTCAGACTAAAATTTTGACCAGTGAATATCTCCCCCAATTCCCCCATTCCCACGCAAACTTGCAGCCACTTCGACTCCTTTCCTCCAAAATTAAAGAGGCCAATAATTCACCGAGGCCATAAACCTATGCGTGCGTGAATTTTCCTGCTTGAAAGACATTAATGCCAGCATAATTACATGCTCCCAGGGGGGGGAGGGAAATCGTACAAGTTTCATGAGAGAGCGACAGACCGAGAGAGAGATTCGAGGGGACTGGTGCAAGGGCGAACAGGAAGGCAGCCTAGAGCCGTCGAATAAAATGCGTGTTACGACGAAATTTTCGTAGTGCAGTTGTATGAGTGAGAAGAGGCCATTAGCACGAAAAGCCCAACTATTCCAATCTAAAAGACGTGCGAGAGCGGAGAGCGGAAGGGGGGGGGAGCCCACGCAGGGAGTGGTGCGGCCAAGTTTTTTAGGAGTTATTTTTCCGCCACCCTAATGTGAAAAACACAACGAACTGCGTTCCCCCCACCACTGCGTCAATGACGCGCGGCTTTTCTGCCACGGATGCAGTCACGCGACTCTTCAGGCTCAACCCCAGTACAGATAGCCGCCATCAGAGAAGAAAAAAAAATCATCGTAGTGGGGATGGGTTTTCCGTTCAACCTCTCTTCAGAATTCGTGCGGGTGTTTCACATTGGGCCCCATACGCACTCGATGCGTGCGCTGCGCATTGCGTGCACAGGGTAATAGACAAGGATGTCCAAAATGTTCTGCCCCCCCCTCCACAGCTATTTTTTCACTATTTGGTTGGGCATTTTCCGTCTCTCTCGGTCTTTCATTTTCCAGTGGAAGGTTGTGGCGGTGGGGAAAGGCAATTTTTCCCCTCTTTTTTTTCTGGTACTGCGTTCTCGCTCTCCCATTTTTTTGTCCCACTCAATCGCCTATTTCGCCCTCAACCTTTCCGTTCTCTATTGCCATCCCCGAAAAATCCCTCGCGCGGACACTGCGTTTCCCAGGCCCTAGACCCTCAGCTCAGTCTTCCTAATACGTCATTTAAGCGCTTGTCGTTATTCGCGCAACATCTTGACGTTAAATCGTGCGGGGCCCCCGAGTTTTCTGCGTTTTTAGGAATTTTTATCGGTTTTTCAAATTGTGACGACTGCGTTGATGCAGATTTAATTTATAAAGTCAGTGGATTATTTTGGGCTCCATGATTCTAAGGGTCATGTTGTTTACTTCCTCGAGGCTATTTTAGGACTGTTGTTTTTCGCCTGAGAAGTGCGCATCGCAGAACTTAATTGGGACTGTGAGATGTGAGTATTACGCTTTCTCCCGTGTCTAATCCGCTAATAATTCGATATTATGCTGATTTATTCACTTGGTTTTTGAGCAATTCTTTTGGTTTATTATGTCACTTTTGTTATGTACTTGGGATGTTATTGATAATACACGTGCGAATGATATCCTTGAGTGGAGAAACCTTCAATCGTAGCGTTTACGACTTTGAAAACACACGCAATTGCGTCGATAACGCAATATCCACGCGTTGTTTTTCATTTCTTTATCTGATATGGGAATTTCGACGGAGAACATGCGCATAAATAAAAATAATAATTTTTACATTTCAATGTATGTTTATTTTATTGGCCGTGCCCAATCGCTTTTTATATGAATGAGATCTTCGCGTGGAAATGGAAATAATGGTCATGTTTTTGATAAAACTAAAGGTCAGAATTATTCTGAGTTTCGGTTGTGAGCACTTTTTCAAAATTATGATACTCTTCTATTCGATTTTCTAATAATTTTTCAATTTTCTGTGGGAATTACTCTTCTGTGATTTTTCTACAGAAAAATCTTGGGAATAAAATGTCAAAGTTTTTTCTGCTGTATTTTTTTTCTTGTTATTTAATCGCAGAAGGCAAGAATGAACATTTGGGAAATTCGTGCCCAAAATTTTTGAGAGGAACGTGGTCATGAGAAGAATGAATATCTATGAACTTTTCTCAACTTTCAAGTTGCTTAATTTTGGATAGAAATCGGCGCTGAATACACCAGAACTTTTCATAGAATTGAAGTATAATTTTCATAAAAATTTTATTGGATTATATTGTAATTTTCATTTGTTTTCCGTTGGTGGGAAAATTCCGAAGGTCTTCCGCGCTTTTTTCAACCACAAGTTGAATGAAAAATATTGTGTGGAAAAAATCAATAGATCTCATCTTTCTGTAAAAGTTTCTGGGCACAAATTTTCTATTTTTTCTGCGCGAATTGATCATTGAAAGAGGAAACACAACGAAAAGAAAATTAAAAAATTCAAGAGATTCTATAGAAAATACCTCAATAGAATCCTGGATAAAAAAATTTAATGGAAAAACCTAACGAATTCGATTTTTCTATACAACTTATTCCATTGCGATATTTTCTACAGAATTTCCTCGGCTCAAATATTACCAATTGTTTTGTTTGATTTTCTTCATGACAAGAAAGCAGAACAGAATAAAGAAAAATTGAAAAATTTAAGCCGAGGAAATTCCCTAGAAAATATCTGAAGAGAAAAAGTCACCTAAAAAATTCAATTCTGTTGACTTAATCTACTGAATATTTTCTATTGAACATTTCAAAGGAATCAACTAAAACCTAATCGAAAGTTCCCTAAAAATCCAACAGAATTTCTCCCGAATTCGCTACATTTTCCCCTAAATTATCTCGCGCGTGACAAGCTCCCCAAAAATATAAAAATCTGTTTTCCACACGCACTAGAATCGTCAATCTAAAAATACCAAACCACTCGGAATGCAAGAGAAAGGCGAGTTCTTATCGCCAATGCGTCAGCATATCCAAAGTCCCCCATAATCACCCGACAATTAGCCATTCTCTGACCGACTCCATTCCAAAAACATTTCAGTGTACCCCGCACCAAAAATGGAGGCCTCCTCGTCGGAGCAGCAATTCTGCCTGCGCTGGAACAACCACAGAACAAATCTGCTGACAGCATTCACCGAGTTATTTCACAACGGTGCATTCACCGACGTAGAGCTCCTGGTGGAGGGCGAAAGCTCCCTGGTGCCCTTCAAATGCCACAAGATGGTCCTAGCAGCGTGCTCAAACTACTTCCAAGAGATATTCTCGTACACCCCCACCGAGCACTATCCAATAATTGTCCTGACAAACGTCCGCGAAGCGGAGATGAAGGCGATTCTCGAGTTCATGTATCAGGGTGAAATCAGTGTTTCGCAGGAGGAGATGACCGACATATTCAAGGTGGCGCGTATGCTGAAGATAAAGGGCCTTGCGGAGTACGAAAAATCGCATCGCTCTCGGGGTCGTTCGGCATCTCCACCCCCGGCTATCAGTAGCACCGAGCGAAGCGCTTCGTTTGGCAATGAGAGCCTGCCCAATGACTACCGTTCACCCCCCCATTCCACGAGTTCATCGTCGTTCTACCCCTCGTATGGCAAAGCATCGGCTCTGGTTCACAATCCGGCTGCTCACATTGCACCCACGGGGTGGAGCCCACTGGCCAGTCTCTCATTAGCCGCTCAATCGGTCATGAGTGCACCACTGACCCCTCGGGCCGCTGCACTCTTCCCGGGGGTCTACGAAACCGAGGCCAATCATCTGCGCAAACAGATGAGCAATTTGATCATGAATCGGGATACTCCGATACTGAGGACTGTCCTGGGACAGGGACAGGCGGACAGCTCGCAGGGGCTACCGCCGAGTCATGGGGACGGTCATGATGTTTATCGCAGCTCGAGCAATGGCTCCGCTCATGATATGACGGACGATCGCAAGAGCAGCATGGATTTGTCGCAGGGGCGGAATGGCAGTGGACACAGCCCGTACTCCGCGGATATCTCTATGGATGAGTTTGATAAGAAATCAACGGGGCAGCAGAATCGGAAGAATAGTGAGTATCCTTTGGGGTTCTTTGGACAGCGTCGGGGTTGTGGGGATGACGAGGGAAACTGCAATCACAGCGTCGTCTGGATTTCGATGGTCAAATCTGCGGGAATGCACGTGTGAAAAAGTTCAATGGAAAACGGTGCGAATTCGATAGAAAATTCGACTGGAATTCTGGAGGAATTCTGTGGGGTTTCTGTAGGATTTTTATGGGAATTCCACTGAAAAATTCTGTTTTTGCGCTGATTCTGTTGGATATTTCATAAGAACAAGTCAATAGATTTAGAATTTCTGTTCGGATTTTTCTCTTGAGATTTTTTTATTGGAAAAAAGTAGCTAAGTGGTCAAACGGTTCAAGTCAATTTAGTCTTTAGCTGAGTTTTCCAGAAATATTTCCGAATTTAAGGGAGATAGCGAAATTTTCGTAATAAGGTTTTTTGTAGAGCGAATTGAGTGCTACTAAAAAGGTTATGAGAAAATTTTGCTATCTCCCTTAGATTTCGAGATATCTATTGAAAACTGGTCAATAGCTAAAATCGACTTAAACCTTTTGACTACTTTTTCCAAGTTACCAAGGTACAAATTTTCCAAGTTTTTTTCCGGTAGATTTTGTTTTGTTTTGCATTGCAGAATGCAAGTGGAAAAAACTTGGAAAATTGATGCCCAAGCATTTTTATAGAAAAAATCTCACGAGAAAATTTCACACAGAACTTGGAAATCTATTGACTTTTTCTTATCGAATATCCAATAGAATTAGGGCAAAAAACAAATAGAATTTTCCAATAGAATTCTAATAGAAATACTATAGAAGCCCCATAGAATTCCAATAGAATTTTCTAGCGAATTCGCTAGGTTTTCTAGCTTTTCTAGGTTTTCTATTGAATTTTCATGCATGTGTCTCGGAAACTTTATGACCAAAAAATTGTATAGATGAGACTTGAGAGGGTGGGAATAATTTATGCGGAAAAATCATAATTTGGTGAGGTTTTCCTGTCACAAAAAAATGGATATTGAAAAGTCACGGCGGAAAGTCGCACGATTTTCCATGGGAATCGGCGCAAGAAACAGATTTGTCTTGGGTACTAATTGTGTACTAATTGGGTACTAATTGTGCACATGAAGTTGTTGATATTTTGCATCCGGTTTTTGAATAGATTAAATAATACGTTGAAAAATTTTCATTCAATTCTTTGCTTTTGCGGACCCCGCCATAATACCCTTAAATTCATTCATGTGTTGTAGTTTCCATTCGTGTTTTACATCGATTTTTTATTAATAGAATTTAAATAGAATTCAGATAAGAATTCCACCAACTCGCCCGGAAATTCTAGTAGATTTCGATTGAGTTTTCTTTTATTTTTCGCTGATTCTACAGAAAAATCACGCAGCTCTTCTGGACTTTATCAAAATGCAGAGGTTCAGTAGAAAATATTGAACAGAAGAAATTAATAGATTTCATGTTTCTATAGACCATATTTTATTGAAATCGCTTCTATAGAAAGCCTTGAGTACAAATTTTCCAACATTTTTGCTCAAATTCTTTCATGAAAGAAATATAAAAATCATCAGATTATTCCCCCGCATTTTTGAAAGAATTTCAACAGAATTTAAATCGAAATAAAACACTCGAATTTTCTATTGAGTTTTTTCGCAATTATAAATTATAAAAATCAGAAACGATGAAAAACAAGAAATAAAAGAAAGTCTTCAGTAAAATAAAATGGAAGAACAATAGAATAAAGGCGAGTCTTGAGTACAAATTTCGCAACAATTTTTCCCGAATATTTTCATCAAAGAAAAATAAAAATCTTCAGATTACTTCACCGAATATTTTATATAATTTCAACCGAATTCCAATGGAGCTAAAAAAGCCCTCGGTTTTTCCACTGAGTTTCTCCACATCTATAAATTCTGAAAATCATAACCAAAGAACAACACAATTCTTCCAGAACTCCCCTAGAGATTCCCCGGAAATCTGCGCCAAAGCCACTCACTCCTAACAGATTATTGATATTACTTTTGCAGAAGAGTGGAAGCGTTACAAGCAGTACACGAAAGAGCACATGGAAAAGGCGATTATAGCAGTGCAGGGTGGTGAGACAGCGTTGAAAGCCTCCAAGGCGTACGGGATTCCGTCCCGCACGCTCTACGATAAAGTAAAGAAAATGGGGATCACAACGCAGAGGAATATTCGACGTCACAGGACGAGCAGTGGCGCTCACTTTCCGCACGGAATAGGAGGCAACAGAAATGGAAGTATCTACCGAAGTCTGTCAGATCACGACACCGACAACGATTACGGCAGGAGTATGATAGAGGGTTCGTCCGCCCTGTTGGACATAGCGTACGGACATGGCCGCGAGCAGACGGAGGACCAGGAAGCGAGCCTGGACAATTCGCGGATAAGCACGAGTCCCGACGAGGAGCAGCGAGAGGAAATGAAGTACGATAGTGAGGATCACGTGCAGGATCTCTCGATTAATCGTAGAAATGTCATTGTCCCACCCTCAAATCCTCCCATAAAGGAAGAAAACGATGATGACGCCTCGAAGAACTGATTTAAGTGAAATTACATTATTTTCGCAAGACTGAAGGGGCTTTACGTCTTCTCTCTCTCTCTCTCTCGGCTTTTATTTCTTCTTTTCTTTTCGAATTTAATTTCAAGAGACTGAGAATGGTATCGTGGGTGTCGCGCGTCTCTAAAGCTCTCGCTTCTGTCTTCAGAGCCTTTCAGACAGAAAAGTTTCTTCGTTTGAGGAAAAGAGAGAATATAGATATATTGAGGAAATATTGTTTAAGAACGATTGTGATGATAATTGAAGTGATTGATAAATGGTTGGGGAAACGAACATTCGTACTTCTGGTGTTTTGAGGGAATTGATAATGGGGGTTATTCTCGAGTTGTGGGAAAACACTTTCAGGTGCGAAAGGCGAGGTTTCACAGGTCTCGTGTGCGAACGCCGATTTCCGCACTACACTGAGAAGACAAGAGTTTTTTGAGAAGTGCGTCTTTACTTGTATCTAGAAATTCATGACTCGAATATGTCACACTGAGAAATAAAATCTTACACCAAGGAATTTTATACTTGTTCGAAAGATGAGGGCAATTGGTTCATATCAAGAAAACGAGATCTGAAATCAATTCAAGTGGTTTTTGTATTAAAATGTTTTAGGATTAAGGCTGAAAAACTATCAAATGAATTAATCCAATTTTACTTTTTTGAGATATCGCTTTTTTGTCATCAAGAAATTGTCCTCGTCGTTAGGACAGGTACAAAATTTCTTGATGAAAGTTGTTTTTTTCTTGGTGCAAAATATTTTGCTCCTGAAAATTTTCAAGCCACGAATTTCTGATGCGAAATCGAAGGCGCGCTCCGCGTGCCTGACGATTTGATGGGTTTTGTATGATTCATCACGTTATTATTTAAGTTGATTGGCATCAATATGTTCTTTCACGTATACGAATTTCTATAGTATTACTAAGGAGAAATTCGTAGGAACCGATGAACACTTCTGTTGAAAATCCACGATTTTTTTTATTGCAGAGGGATGGCAATGTCCATCGAGAATCAATAGGAGATACGACGAAAGCTATGAAAACTTGCATTGGAAAGCGAAGGCTTTTCCATAGAAATCTATGGAAACTTCTATTAAGAGTCCTTGAAAAATTCGTCGAAATCCATGAAAACTTCAATTGAAAATCAATACATTCTCCGTTGGCAATCACTAATCCAACATCGTCAGCAATATCAGTAAGATCAATATTATCAACAAAATTGGTATCATCACCATGTATGCGATTTCTCTTTCAGATATTCAGGAATAAACGTGTATCCCCTTATGGGAATGAGATATATGCAGCACTTATATCTAGCACATATTTGGCATACCGAAGTTTTGGCCGAAAATATATCTGAGATATATTGCAGATAGATGTTAAATATTTTACATCGAGATATATGTGCATATTTATATCTAGGATATATCTGGCATGATATTTTTGGCCGAAATATAAGTGAAATGTATATGTCATCTCCTTTTTATATAAGAGGATGAGTAAAGACGTATTTCTCAAAAAACTTTAGTTTTCTGAGAGTAGAGACCTCTCCTTCACATGAGAATATCTTTCGTCGACGAATGTCAATATTCACCCACCATTTCGTCCATCGCGATTCGCACACCGCTTCGTCCCTCGTCTTTAAAATACATCGAAGACTAGATATCTCTGTAAATTATCCATTCTCGCAAACCGTAACAATAGTCACACTTTTTGTTAAACTCATTGACGAAAAACAAAGGTGTTTATACAGATACACACACACTGATGGACTGATTCATTTAGTCCAAACGAGATTCGTTAACTATTAACGAATGGTAGAGTTGAATATGACCAAATGTGTACGTCCACGTGAAAAGGGCCCACTTTGTCGCCTCTAGTTTCCGAGATATTCACGTTTTTCTCTCCACATCTCCCATTTAAACCAATGTTAAATTGTTTTTTTGATCGTCTATACTGACGTCAGTTTTCATTCTATCGGGTTGATTTTGGGCTCAAAATGAGAGAAATCTGATCAAGATTATTGGAACATATTTAACTCCAATACCGTCAAAGTGGACCCTTTTCATGTGGACGTCCACAAGTGAATATTCGTTAATAGTTAACGAAGAATTCACTTGAAAGGTGAAAACGTGAAAAATCGAGTCAAACAAGTCTTCTCAAATGTGCATTTATTAACTATTAACGAATGAGCATTTAGTGAGAGCGAATAGACTCTCGTCTCCAACCAAATCCATTCGTTAACAATAACTAATCCTTTCTATCAGTGCACGTTTGGAGTTAAGTATCCTTGTACGAATCTTCACACATGTGAATTTTCCTGGGAGACGAAAAGTCCGTCGACGAAAAATATTCACAGTGAAACAGAGGTCTCTAGTGCGGAAATCAACATTCGCACATGAGATCTGACAGATCTCGGTTTTCGCGCGCGAAAGTATCTCCACACAACTCGAGAATAGGCCAGAAGATATTATACTTTGTGCTTTTCAAGAGCTTATTCCAAAAACTGAAGTATCATCAGAAGGGAATTTTAACAACGGCACAACATTTTGAGGGGAAAATGAAAATTAATAAATATAGGGGATATGTTTGGTGATGGCGGGAAAATTAGGTTTAACGTACGGGTACTAAGAAGGACAGCATTCTAAATGCTGCATCTCGACGCTAAGAACGGCTTTATGCAGAGATGATGAATCCACAGTCATCAGAAAAACTCGAAAAAAAAATCGAAAAAAATTACACCTATGATATGTTAATGTTTTCACTAGAACCACAGTTGAAATATTGATTTTGTTTTGGAAGAAATTTCATAATATTAAAATTTAGAATTTAGGAAAAATGAAAAGGAAAGAAGATTGAGTTGTGGCCCTGGGATACAGTTGCAATATATTGCTCAATATGCATTTATAGATAAATTGTAAATGTGAAATGGGACCAATCAGCCTCTACAATTTATAAGACTGATACCTCTGTTATGTGTTATGCCATTTCATTGAGGGGTAATAGCCGATTGTACCGAGAACAGTTACCACTGGAGCATTACAAAGTACTAGAGTTATTGTGAAGTTACCACTGTGTCTTAATGCATGAAAAGCGAATATTTAAATTATAATTATTTGATTAGACGACTCTTACGAATGGTAAATAACAAGAGGAGCGATTGGCCGTCCAACGGCAAAAATGGGGATGACTCGGGAAGGAAATTTCATGTACAACATAACTTTACAATCTATCGTACTCTTTAGGTTAAAGCATAGAGAAATATTCTAATCTTGTTATTCACAATATTTTAAAAATATCTTTTTTTTTTATTATTCGAACTTCTTCTCAGGAATCACGTGATGATTCATCATTAATCTGTAAGATTAATTCGGTTGTTAATCGGTAGATAATTAGAAGAGACAATCTCAGGAGATGAGTACAAATACGTACAAACGAAGTGCCTATAGTTCGTAGTTCAACAATCCTACCTCAACAATATTGTTAAAGCCCGTATTCGCACAAAAATAAGCAGTTGGTTGTTCTGAAGTTGTCTATTTTCTAGTAACTAAGTTCACACGAAATCGATGCCTTACTAGCTTGTCGTTGTTCTTTTAAGTAAGACTGATTCTTTTTTATCATTTGAGTTCTGTTTTTTATTATTGAATATCGTACGTACTGGCATGACAGTGTTATGTGAAGTGAATTCAGCACTACAGCGCACGGCCGAGAAAGACGCACTTGTAATGTTTTGGCAAGAGATTGAAGTAACTTTGAAAATATATTATAATTCATATATCTTGTTAATTAATATACATATATAAATAAAGTAGCGTATGTATGAGAAGAACATGGGAAAATAATTAATTCACGATTACCCCCAACATCCCTTGAAGTTTTATCTTTCTCTTAAAAAATATGAAGAAATATTCTAAGGCCGTGACTACTTGCACCATTGCGTGAATCACTCGCGTACACTCCACGCATGCGTGAAGTTTGTGTGTTTCACGCAGCCGAATTTTCATATTGCTGTGTATTTCACGCAGTTGAAGTTTCATACTACTGTGTGTTTCACGCAGTTGTATTTTTGTACTACTGTGTGTTTCACGCAGTTGTATTTTTATACACCTGTGTTTCACGCAGTTGCATTTTTATACGCCTGTGTGTTTCACGCAGTTGCATTTTTATACGCCTGTGTATTTCAGGCAGTTGTATTTTTATACACCTGTGTTTCACGCAGTTGAAGTTTTATACTACTGTGTGTTTCACGCAGTTGTATTTTTGTACTACTNCAGTTGAAGTTTTATACACCTGTGTGTTTATACACACAGGAGTGTGAAATATACAGGAGTATCTGAATATAAAATACAACTGCGTGAAACACACAGGTGTATAAAAATACAACTGCGTGAAACACACAGTAGTATAAAACTTCAACTGCGTGAAACACACAGGCGTATCAAAATGCAACTA